TTCTTAGATTATTTTTAGCCTAAAACCGAACGATTGCAATAATTTTTTTAGGCTACGTTGCCAAGTTTATAATTTCAAAATATATATATTATACTAATTGATCCCGTACATTTCGCTGCCCGTTCAAAATGCTAACTCTATATGAGATTTGATGGTGATAATGAGAGCAGTTTATTTTGCCTAACCGACGAGCGACTATAAGTGCGACTCAGCCACCATGGTAGACAATATGCATACAATACATAGATACAATATATATACATTCAATTGTATGCATGATGCGTATACCTAATCTGCACGATGAGCCACTGCAGGCAACCAATAAACAAAAAAAATACCAATTTCTACTAAATATATTTATATTTCTTCTATAACCAATAGCAACAGTAAATAAACAAATATTTCCTTCGTAAAACTTAAGATCCCTATTTAAGCAACTCCCCGGATTGGACTTTTCGGGTCCAATTATGAATCTAAACTATCAAGAGCGTCACCCAAACGCATACAAAAAAATTCATTCGAATCGGTCCAGCAGTTTAGGAGTTCAGTGACATACACACGAACAATAGAATTATATACATATAGATAAAAATAATACAATGTTGCATTATAACTAAGTTACAAACGGAAATAAAATGATATAAAATGATAGATAATGTTTAAAGTGTTGATTGATTAAAATTCTTTGTTTAAATGAAAACGGCATGTTACAATCATCACGTTCAGAAATATTTCATTTACAGCTTCATTAGCTCCAGATTCAAAATCCAAATGAAGTTTTTTAATACCGAAATTTGAAGTAATATATTGTTGACACTACTTATTCAAATAAGTTCCTTTGATTTAATTTGCAAAAAAAAACACACAATGGGTACATAAAAATTTATTTTTGTAAGCATGTATGGTATAAAGTTGTAAAAAGATGTTGGTGAGTAATCAAAGGTACCATCTCCAAAAAACTCATTTTGTGTTGTCATAAATTAAAAATTTTCCTTTGTAGTTATACAAACTAATTCGTCATAACAAAACAATTTAGTCTCCATTAAAAGAATAAAAATCATTTTCTAGGTTAACAAAATGTATTCAAATAATATAAAATCCAATTATTGTATAAATATAATTGACTAACGCCGAATCTGGCAACGCTGCATGGAAAAAGGCAGGTAAAATCGTTCGCAATCGTCACATCTCATATTGATTTTATAATATACTTATGTATAATATTTAAGTATACATATTATAAAATCAATGATGATACGTTAAAAGGTCCGTTTGGAATCGTTCCATTTACAATCGTATAACACCCTTAAATTCTATACAATGCTCAGTTATTTAAAGTCGTTTCATGCTTCATATATTTATAATATTCACCTATATCAAAATAAAACATATAGTTAAGAATATAACCTATGTCCCTACCCCCTACGTTGTCTATTTTTTTATATTTTAATTATAGGTAAGTTTTGAGTGGGTAAATTATTACACTATTTAAAAATGCTTATAGATTGTATAAAAATTAAATATCATAAAAAAGTCAACGTAGGGACGAAAGTAAATTTTAATATTTTTAGCTTAAATTTTGTTAGTGATATAATATAATATTATAGAGAATTCACTCTAATGTTCAAAGTTAAAACACGGGTTTGGTACTGTTCAACTTAAATTGGCTATCGTGGGTTGGGTAGAGAAAACAAATGATGCAGTGACATCGTCTAGCGGGGTAAACCATTGATTACATAGAAATCCATGGCGTATTTATGGAGGGGGTGAATATGGGGATCTCTTCATGACCTTTATTTTTGGCTATTTTGAAACTCAAAGAAATATATGTTTAGATGAGTATTTTGAGTTATATTTTTATAATATTATAGCAGAGCTGGGCACCAACTAGTTAGGACGTTCAAATAAACTAACTTTTAACTAACTAGCTAGTTTTTATTCATTTTAAATTAGTAACTTAACTAATTTAATTGAATGTGTAAAATGATTTAATCTAACTCTTTAAAAACAACAAGTACCTAACTAGGCATTTTTTTATTAAAACAATCCATATATTCGTCAAAACTGCTGAATGCCGACTATTAATGTCTAAAGCCATGATCATAATTTATTAATAATTAACATTGTCTGAGTATTTTAAATTTTATCATAAAAACATTCCTCTTGTCATACACTTATTTCTTGTAATTCACGTTAACCACGAAACTTACAATCATAACGGCCAATGTTTATACATATTATACGAATATAGCATCGTATTGTTTGCATAATCTTCTAGTATTCTAATGACTGATATTCTAATTCGTTTCCAAGAAATGGGGATTATTATTTTTTAGAATTAATTCTACACCCACTTAAAAATCGAGACATTTAATCAAATTATTAGTTAGATCAACAATAGTTTAAGTTAGATACCGAGACACAGAGTAATTAATTTATATAATACTTGATATGTTGAACAAACAAGTTTAAATTTAGTTAAAAAGTTAAAAAGTTAAAGTTTTAAATTTATACTTAAAAAAATATTTTAAAAAAAGCTAATTTCTAACTTCTACTCTAACGTAAGTTTCTATTTTCACTGAACTAACTTCTAACTAACTAAGGTAGAAATTAAGAAAAGTTCAGAAACTAATTTATGTTTTAACTTAGTTAGTATTGAAGTAACTTAACTTTAGCTAGGTAGTCGAAAAAATTGATTAACTTTCCTGGTTTGTATTATCTTTGTATAAAAAAATTACTCTGTATTGGTACTTGGCAGTTTGCATACCTGTAACTGTATTTGACACTACACACATTTTAAATATAATACGTCTACGCTCTATACGTAGATTCTTTTGAACGAACCGTAGAAACAAAATTATAACGACGAGTAGGTAACGTCAATAATTATTGTAATCGGTAATAATAAATTCTGATTATGAGAAAATTAACATGGGGTATACTACATATTAAATATTTTTTAAGTACTATTTATAATCTACAATAATATGTAATCAAATATTATAATATTATACCCACATATTAATTTTTAGAACACAATACGCATATACTAATTTAATTCTAATAACGTTGATCATTGTTCGGACGTTCAGCTTTTAGCTGCGACATTCCAATTTTAGACTTTTCACGATAACTGTTGTAAATTAATAAGATAGGATGATTTTATTGCAATTTCAGTACCTACCTATAATATATTAAATAGTAAATACTATTACAATATTATAATAATAATTTTACAATCGTATAAATCTGCAGTCTTTAGGTCAGACGTTTTGAAAACATTGAAGTAATTATAATTTTAATGTACTCATTTCAATATATTAGAATATCACTTTTAGTTATGCATTTATTTTTCGCTAACTACAGAGGATTAAATCCTTTATAAGAAACAGTATAAGAGATTCTGTCTCTAAATGTATACATAATACATATATTTTGCATAATGTTTATCATAAATGTCACATAAATTTGAAATAGGAATTTAGTTTTCACAAATCACATAATATCAAGTAGATAATGTAATAACATAGTAACATACTAACATGTATGTCATTTTAGATTCTGAGCTGAGCGATGAATTTATTGATTTTAAAATGATTTTTGTTTATAAATGTATTTATTTTTGTGTCTGTCATCACGGTTTCTTGTAGTAAAAGTGCTACGATTTTCTTCAACAGCAACTCTTCTGGTAGGAGAGTGAATCTAGTTGATGCATCCGAGAAGTCAAAATTTAAGATTCTCAATAGTTTTTAAAAGCAACAGGAAAAACAAATGAAAAATTAAGGAAAACCATGACATTTTCACTGAATATTTGTGTAAGCATTTTCTAAACACCATAAAATTTACAAAATAATTTGTCTTGTGTTGAACTATTTATATGCATATGAAATTTCGATTATTATTTTTTTTTTTTTAAACTAGTGTCGATAAAAAATTATTCGCTTTGTCAAAAAAATTGTAAATATAATACAAGGTTCCTCGTAAACGGTTGTTAGTACAAATTAAAAAGAAGTTGAGCGTAAATCCACAGTAGTTTTTTATGAACGTTTAAACTTAAAAGTTAAACAAAATTTTTAAAAATCGTGAAAATTAGCTAAATTACATTCAGTTAGAAATTCATAAACATTTTCCTTTTTATATCTAAGATTTAAAAATGTAATAAAACATTTGTTATACATTTGTTTACCTTTATCAAAAAAAAATGTCTACTGGAAAGTCAAATTAAATTTTTATAAGCGTTTGAAGTTGAAATTTTCATAACACTGGATATTCACTCGATTTCTCTTGTAGCGATCTTATTTTGTTGTAATTTAAAAACGAATTACTGGAGACACTTGAAATTTACAATATATGTTTATTTCACCAACTCACATACTTGATCATTTGATATTCATAATATTTTTTACTCGTTTTAAACTGTTGATGGACATTTTTAATTTTAATTTTTTCAATTTTTTTTTCTATAATTGTCTATAAAATGTATTGGTTGTGTGAAAAAGCATGAAAATTTAGTACAAGATTCTTGATAACATGTTACGATAGCAGTTGAAAAGTATTAAAAATATATAGGTATGAATTTTTTTTATAAGCATATAAAGTTAAAATGTTGACAATATTTATCAAGTTGAAAATTGAAAATGATTTTGTAGTTAAAAATGTATACAATTTCGAATTTTTATAGCTAAGAATTGAAAATTTTAAACAAGGTTTCCAACGGTTTTTTCCATAACTAAGAAATCTAAAAAATGTTATTTATTGTACAATAGTTATTTTTTACAGGCAGTTTAAGTTCAAATTTGGACGAAATTACACATCAACACAAAGAATAACGTTTATCATTTTGTTATAATTCTGTTCCAAAACAGTCCAATTATACATAGGTATATTTAATATTTTTCAGCATCACTGATAATTTAACAATAATATTAATTCAATTTTCTGGGTACCATATTGATAATAAGTAATAACAGTATAAAATATCCTAAACTGACATACCGTCACCGCTCAGAATCGTTTTTCGTATATAATGATTTATATATTTAACAATCGGTAGAATATTTTCATACGTATTGTACGATATAATATATACTCAATGGTATTATCATAGGATTTGCTGCGGCCGCCTGCCAGTACCGCTCGGCCGCGCGGAAACGACAGACGCAATGACGTCACCTACCGGTACATTCTGATTTTGACAATAACTTTATAAATAATTTTTTTTTTCAAATTATTTTTTCATGATAATTTCTTTTGTATTGTAAAGCATCAAATCCAGGGATGCAACACATTTTTCAGGGGTTATGTATGGCTTGAACTCAGTTCAACGTACAACCTTCAATACAATTTTTCTGAAAAAAGTACATTTTATGATATTAAAAACAGTTTCCCAATAAAATATTCATCAAAGTATCAAACAATACAATTTTACTAACCAGAACAGGTCTGGAATTTTTTTACTTAGAATTCAAAATATATAAATTTCATATTGAGCATAAAATCCATAACAATTTAATTCGATGTTTAAAAGTAGTAGGTTATAGAAGTTAAGGAGTTCAAATTAAGGAATTTTAACGATTACCTATTTTACTTAATTAATAACAGATGGTTTTATTTTATTTAGTACTATTAAAATTTCATATTAATAATAATAAAATAATATGAAATTTAGTCAAAATTATTGTACTGCATAAATATTAGGTCCGATTAATAAATGTGACTATGTTGCCCATAATTTCAAACGCAATCGTGTTTTTTATATAATGTATTCTTTAATCTTTCAACAAACTGAACAAACACACTACACACCCAATTGTGTTGTACCTTTAAATATCATACAATTATCTGCAATTGACAGCAATATTTATGACCCGTATAATTAGTTTATTGAGTAAGTGTTTTATTTCGATAAACGACGATCGACGATTTCTAATAAATATTTCCGATTACGATAAAAGTTTGACTTACGCATACTTATAAATTTATAATTATGTTATGTTAAATCCTGAAACCGTAGACATTATATGAAATACAGGTTAAATCCGTACAGGCCAAACCCGCTGCATCCAAAAACCAAACATTTTAAAATTACTGAAAAATGTAGGTATTTATTTATTTTAACAAAAAAATATAAATTAAATTGACGTCAGTTTAATACAATAATTACATTAGAAATCTATATATTTTTACTTGTTACAATACAATTTTTTTTCTGATTTATTAGTTTATATTAAGTAGGTAATTTGTTATTTTTAAGTGGTAAGAATATAACAATTTAAAAAATGTAACGCGTTCATCAAAGAGTTTTGTAAACTTTTTTACGTTTAGAATACATCTGGTTTGTAGATTAAAAATAGTGTATCGTATTTTAATATACAGTGAGATGATAATGTTTGGGGTTTTTGTTAAACGACCTGTTAAGAGTTGAAATCATAAGTGCGCTAAGCGCTTTTTGGTTGCAATCTCATGTTTTTTAACTTAGCACACACTGATAAGTCACTTTATAATAGTCATAATATGCATTTGCCTATGTTATTAATTATGTTATCTATTAATATCAATTAGCAAAAAACAAAAAATTTTTTGTGGCTCTAATTGACATGTACTGGATACCTTAGTAGGTATCTTAACTACATATTTATTTTACAATACACCAGTGGTTCCCAAACGTTGCAACGGGAAGCCCTTACCAAGAGCTCCGTTCGTAACACCACAAACATTTTAAAAATTGTTCGTTATTGAAAATGAATACAGTTAAAAATAATTCACCGACATGTATAGTAATATAGTCTATAACAGGGATTCTCAAACTGTGGTACGGGTACCTTTTGGAGGGTACTCGAAATGTTTTAAGGGGTATACGAGTCTGGCCAACAAGCCAATAAGGAAAAAAGTCTTTAAATTTTTTTTATATATTTTAGTTTAGTAACTAAGAAGGGGGTACTCCCAAAATGTATTGATAAAAAGGGGTACAGTGTTTATAAGAGTTTGAGAATAACTGGTCTATAGTACTAAATTACTATAGACTATATAGACTCCTATGTGTATACAATTTGTGTTTATACTTTATTATACTTCATAAAACACAGGCAGATAAAAATTAAAGTTAAATATTTTTTGAGGGCTCCACGAGAAACTTATATTTAAAAAATGGTCTGAGGCTGAAGAAGTTTGGGAACCGCTGCATTACACAGTTCTTACATACCATACAATTTGTAGAAAATTGCCTATTACGACTCCTTATAAAAATGATCGGTATTGAATATAATAATATTATTTTGCGACTTGTGAGCTTGTGTAATGAGCTATGGCACCGTTGACCCTCAAAAAAAAAATAATACTGGGATTGTTATGAGTTATAATCTATTACAAGTCCATATTATATTGTTTACATAAATTCACTTTGTTTTAATTTTCTTGCTTTCAGTTGGCAGTAAAATGTGTCACTCTTAGATTGTGATTATCTTAAACAAGAAATTAATCCTCATATAGTAGGATATTGCATTTCCAATTAAAAATTAAGCTGTTGTTGACTGCTTCAACATCAACTGTAACTATTTATTAAGTTATCTCGTTTTGTCGATATAGTCTATTAACGTATCTTATTTTTTTTATCCACACAGCTTAGTCCCACATTTTCAACTAATATATTTGAAACCACTAAGAGTTATATTATGGACGAGAGATACAATGAATTAATTTTTTTTACTTTTTAGCTTAATAATAAAATTTAATAGAAATCAACATGTAAGAATGTATCTATTGTATCCAGTATCCTTAAAAAAAATGTCCTGATGAAGGTAGTTTGAAGATTATAGTTTTAACATTGAGAATCGCGATTCGCAGAAATAGGTGTAAACACTGTACATTCCAGAAACAAGTGTAACTTGAGGTGATCTCATTAAATCACATACTATAATCTATTCTATACAAAGGGAACTTGACCTATTTATTTTATATTTTGCAACTACCCCTATTAATTAAAATTTATTAATTATTTATAATTTATTAATTTATTAAATTATTATTTACATTAGGACAGGAGTGATAATTGTACATTCTTTTTGACAAAATACTTTTAATACATTCAGGTAATTGTATAATTGGTATAATTATTTTTCTATGATTTTATGATTAGATACATATTAAAATTAATTTGATGAAATAAATTTATCTAGTGAGTGTGAATGTACATTTAGTTCTGTGAAGAATTTAGTGACTATAAACAGAAATGCATTAAGTTCAATTGATATTTTATCACTGATGTCTGATATTCATTAACTTTGTTAGACTTCCAGTACAAAACTGGGATTAAAACTAATAAACCACAATCTTCTTTTATCATGGATTTACAGTGAGAAGAAATCCGCAGAAGTAGAATATTGTTCTAAATAGAAATACATTAACAAAACCAAACCGTACTAGGATTTATTAAATATATTTTTATAGTTATAATTTAAATAGATTTATAAAAATATAAACTAATGTAAATCAATTAGATTAAAGTTACCTTTGATGAAATTTACATAAAGTTAAATTTTTTTTTTAGTAAACATTTAACTGACAATAGTTGAAAAAACATTTATTTTAATTTATTATTACAACTATTTAGAGCTCATAAGTACATATTATTTACTAAACTGGTCACTGGGACACATATTAATGATCTAATTATTTATTTGAGAACTGATGAGTGATAGGTGTTAATTTTAAATAATTTTACACTTGGAACACAGTATTAAATTGTTTATTGAGCTCTTCTACTTAATTTTTCAGAATTAGACCACTTAAAACTAAACCACCAAAATTTTGTTTAGAATTTTAAGTGATTGTAAGTTATATAACTGTATAGTCATAATGATTTTACTTCTTCTGGAGATCATGCTAATATAATTTGTTTTGCGCGTACTTTTATTCTATTTTAACCAAACTTAATTCTGTTTTATTCTATTCAAAATTTGTTTAAGCTTTTTTGAAACATAGTACACAATATCTTTTTATCAAATTAAATATTTAAAATGTGCTTGAATCTGTTTGTGAAAATAACTAAATTTTCACATGTGATGGATACTTAAAAACATGATAAAAAGTAATTGTTTTATTTTAGTACAAACAAATTAATAATTGAATGCCTTTGTTGTACAACATAAAGTTAATTCTTAGAAAATCATTAAAAATTAAAAATAACTGTAATAGAAAGTTGTAACATACAATTGAAACCAATACAATACATAATTAATTAACAACATGCAATTGTCGAACTTAATTGAAAACGATAGAAGTATAATTATTTAAACTGTGGATATTTTTAAACTAACATATTGTGAAAGTAATATTAATTAAATCAGTTTATAATATATTTGGTACGTTTCTTAAGAAAAGAAATTGATAGGAAAATATGAACATTTTTAAGCATTATACAAATATATTATTAACTAACTACTACTAATTATTAAGCAGTTTGAACCAGTCTATCAAGATTCCTAACTATTTAGTCTCGATATTTTGCCTATAAAAATATCATTAGTGAGCATAATTAAGGTATGAATAAAATTCTTATGTGTTACTAGGATAATAGTTAAGGTTAAATGCATTAATGCATGAAGGAACTAAATAATATGTATAAGTAATGTCAAGTAGTTGTTACTTGTTGGTAAGACACTATAACTTTGAGTAAAAAAAAAAAAAAGGAACATCATTACATTATAGGTGGATAGCAATAGATGTTTTTGTTAAATATAAGATATTTAATGACTAATAATTTCAGAAGTTGTGCAAAAAGTTGGTTCTGAAAAATACAATTATGCATACTACATACCTATTCAATTTTCTGTATCCAAAGTATGAAAACTCTGAATGTGCGGCTACTATAGACAGTTATCCGTAACAGCTCCTGCAAAAGAAAATTTTATAAATGGTTTGTACTTATTTATTAGGACTACGACTAGATTATGCCCGACTGCATCATTGATATTAAACTCATGCACCATTATATACAAACCTGTAAGCCAACACAACTGATATTATTTTTAACCATAATATCATTATACCTCTTTTCTCACTTATTTAAATGTCAGTTTCTTTATTGCTCTAAAGCTTCTGTGCAAGAGATCCATTGTTTCTTACACTGTTGTGGTGGCCTAAAAGTACCTATATGTTTAACAAAAACAGGAATTCTATATGGATATGTTTAATATCAATGTACTGCATAGTATATGGTAAGGCATAGACACCAAAGAAAATAATTGTTTTCTAAACACAATTAAAGGATAAAGTGTAAAACATCTTTTATTATAGACACAGGCTACAGAGTCAACTGATAAGCCTGTAGGTTACATTTGTGTTATTGTAATACAATACATTAAATTGTCCATTAAGTGAATTTACTTATACAGAATTTTCCCTCTTGAAGTAGGTAGGAAAATTCAGTATGGAAACTACAAAACCACAAAAAATATCTATGAGGAGCGCAGAGTAAGAAGTAATTTCATAGCATTATAACCCTATCATAAGGTAAGTTTTTAGAAACTCATACTATTACGAAAAACATCAAATGTTAACTACCATTAGCTGTCTTTAACCAGCATCAAAGGGAGATTCGAAAATGTTTTGATATTTAGGATCCACGAAAATATTTTTGACGATTTTTTGGCAATTGAGTTACTGCAGATGGTTTATTTTTCTAAGTTATACTCTGTATCAGAAAACATAGGCACCTTCTTTAAAACTTTACCGTTATAAAATGAGATGTTTTTTTTATTTTTATAAAGTAATACTTAACACTTGTTGGGCTTAATGTATTTACAAACAAAACGAAAAGTGAAAAGCAAAGTTGAATGAAACTACGAACAGAAAAGTGAAAACTACTACATTATAGGTATAAGATAAGACCATTATGAATAGTGATAAGATAACGTGATATCGCAATCAAGTATAGACGAATTTTTGATAATAGTTTTTTTTGCTCATAGACTATAAACATTATATTAGTATACAGAGCATCCGGACATGTCGTAGGCGGATAGTGCGGTACTGTGGTCTGCAGTTATATACGGATATGATGACAATTATGGTAAAACCGAAACATTCTAGCGCGAAAGCGAAAGCGAATGTGTAAGTGTACGTTGTACACCAAGATTAGTGCACTCAAATCTCTGTAACTACAGTCGTGCTCCGCCTAGTAGTATAATATTTATGCTTGTAGTTCTTATTTCTTATTATAATGAACTCTATTTATCGTCTACCAAAATTAATAGAACAGTAAAAAACAATGTTAATTTTAGCGGATATTTATCGCCTCCGTAAATTTTAAAATCAGTCAACATAATATTTTTTTTTTAATTGGTGAACTAATACTTAATTACAGTCACGATTTACGAAAATATAATCATCACGATGAATGTATTTTAGTACTATTTCAGCGCATCAAGTTCTGTGCCCTACAACTATTTTCCCTTCAGTCGTGTTCTCTAGACATATTTTCCGTATTTAGCTGGAACAATAAGATTTTTCTAAGGACGAAAGCCTTTACCCGACTATCGTATCTGCAACTTGTATAATAGATAGACGATAGTGTAAGTTACTAATTAGTAGTATCAAGATCTAGAATTTTACACTGATGGTTTTGGCAATGATACTTCATTTATATTGAAAAAATAGTAACTGTCATAATATGCATGCAGGCTTTGATGTCAAAACATTCATCAGAATCCTAGAAATTAGAGACCTAGACGCATACAGCAATGGATACAGCCGATACACACTATATAGGTACATAATGGGTCTTTTCCAGTTATTTCGTGTTATTTTCTCCCCCCCCNCCCGCGATCAGTGTAAACTAGACAGTGACCCATTCCACTGGGTATATAGTTCACTGGGTTTGTAGTTTTATACTATGTATAACTGGAAGTCCAAATTAATATGAAAATTCAATGAAATATTGAAATCACTATGCGCCACGAGTGGTGGTGACAAGAGGAAAGAATGAATTTTTAGACAGAATATGAACAAAAACGAAATAATAAAACAGTTTTGCACGTTTTTAGGTCTAGGTGAAAGTTGGCAGAAGCAAAAATGTAAAACGCAGTTTTGCGACCCGCGTCCCACGAACGCCAATCATTAGCGCATGCGTGTCGTATGACTACCGCGACGGACGGCAGCTGTATCGACCCCAGAAAATAACAGCGACCGAGCGACGAACGGCAACGTTGCAGACTCGAAGCGGTGCCACGATGAGGCAACATTGCGTCCTACAACCGCGCTACCGATGACGATTGCGGCAGGCGGACACCCGGACAAAGCATATTAGTAATAATAATAATAATACGAGTGCGAGAGAAAACATATTGGCCAATCTGTTGGCCGCGTTGGAGCGTTCGAGCAAGAGAGAAGAATGCTTCTCCCTGGCCGTTTTCCGTATTTTCGCTGGCCCGGCGCCTATCGCAGTTCGCTTTATGGATTTTTGTTTGCATTGCGCAGTTGCCCGTTCCTATATTTCATAATATATTATTTAATGCCTTCATTATAAAAAATATAAGTTTCGTCGCGCACTAGATTGTTGTAATTTCAGTGATCATTATGACAACTAGTAAAATTATCGGGATACACGAAAAATTATATTTTGTATATGAGAATTTTTACGTTAAAAATTTATAATAAATTATTTTTTGTAACTGTTGACTATAGCACCGGTAGCCTTGAATGGTGCTCTTAAGAACTCGAAAAACAGGGAAGGGTGAAATGTATTGTTTAATGATAATGACGTTTTGTCGTTGTTGTGACTTATACAACAATTTTATCAGTTATCGACCATCGTCTACTTATATTACAATGCTCTACCTATTGACAAATTAGTTTTTAAAAACCAGTTATTCGATATTATTGATAATGACTGGTATTAAGTACTTAATTGAGTTTTTAGTGCTCACCCACTTACCCGCGATAATGACAAATAAAATGTATTAGTTTGTATTAAGTATGCGTTAGCTATAAATACGTAAATACGGAAAATGGTATAAACTTGTTCTGTCATTCTGTTATTCTGTTATTCTGTCATCTAAAAATTATCGGAAAAAACATTTTAGAATATTTATTAAACATCAAAAATATTTTTCATGATTTCCATTTAATTCATAAAAAAGTTTATTACAAAATAACTAATATTGAGACATTAAGTATATTTATGTGACGATTAATAATATTAGGTGAATAGTAAACTCAATATGATATGGCATAAGAATTTAGAGCGTATATGAAAAACAGCTAAATCATTAAAAATATGTTTAAAATTCTACGCAAATCACAAATATTAATCTCAAGAATGTATCAGAGTGATACTAAAATATACCGTCAGCCGTCACTAATATAATATCGACTGAATGGAATGATAAGTAGGTATATAGCCTGCAGTATAGATAAATCAATAAATACGAGTATCTAACAAAATAATATAATAGAATATCAATACCAAAAAAGAGGGAAAGTGGATGTCGCATTACTGTACAGTAGGTTACAAGTGGGTCACTGTTGAATTTGAGTTATCTAGTATATTATGAATTAATAAAATAAATGTATGCAGTAAATTTCCAGTAGGTATCTAAAGTTGTTCGTTTTTGAACAACAACAAAATAAGAAAATTGATACATTAGACATCGGATGAATATTCAATGTTGTAAGAATGTCAACTTCAAATGCTCATAAAAATTTTATCTGACCTTTCGTTAACATTTTTTTTTGATTAAGGTAGGCAAACTAATATAAGGAATCTTATATTAAAATTTGAAATCTTAGATATAAAAAGAAAAATTCGTATACATTTTTAACTTAAAATAGTTTTGCAGATTTATATTAATATTAATTTTAATTTATTTAATATCTTATTGATACTTTATGGTTTGTAGTATCCAAGTTATTATAATATAGTTGTAATTTATTAATTATCATAGACATAAATTACATTTTATCTGCATGTGCCTGACGCCTGACACCTGTTACCTTCATTTTTACAGTGTTTTTCAGTATTTAAGTACCTAACTTGTACTCCAATAATTTTCTAGTACCTGTCGAATACCATGTTTTAACCTAAATGCAATTTTACACAAATTCATTATTTTAAAATATAGTTTTATAAATGTCTCTATTTGTCATTCGATACTTAGAACATAATGATTTTAATACTGGTGGACTTGAATATTACACATTGAAATTATTATATAACTGTGGTAATTGAGAATATTGCATTAATTATGCAAATTAAGGCAGAGACAGAATGTTTTAAGTTTGTGTATTGTATTATACTTTTGTACTTTGTATTATATAATTTGTATTATTTATTAACCAAATGAATCATTATGATCTATACATGTGAATATATATTTGATTTTAAGAGACATCGTACAGTTCGTGGACCGGCCCATCCACTTCTTGCCACATCCAACATATATACCTCAGTGTAGTACGCACGCGTCAAGCCCGTTTGCATCGTTCTATTGTATTATTATCGAAAGATCAATGTATCCATGGAAACTATTGCCATCCACTCTTATGTTACAAATATAAAGTGTAATATGATGCCTTCTAAAGTTCTAACATTGTGTTATGATATTGTAAATGTAATCCACTCATTTCATAATTTATTAATAAGTATACAATTAAACAAATGACTTGGAGCGTTTTGAGCTATTCGGAGCGCTTTTAAGATTTTATAATTCTAATAAAAGTATCCAAAAGGTAGGCTTTAGTTTATTTGGCTTCCGTTTAAAGAGGTAAATTTCCAAACTTTTCCAAATTTTACAACACGAATTTCTTCCTATTTTATGCATACTCAGAATTGTCTCAAAAGCGGTGTGGTTAAAAATGTGTTGGTGTTTTTTAAATTTATTATGCAAAATAAATTATTCATATTTGAATTATACAAATATATATATATAAATGTATTATAAATCATAAATTGAAAATGTGTAGGTGATTTCTTTAATTGTATACCCAAAGAAAACATTGTAAAGAATTGATAAATTCGAAAAACCTTTTTTGACAGGAGCTGTTTAGAAACCAACAAATAATGGGTGGGAACTGTTTGAGTTCCGCCGAAATGGTAGCGACCCCGTGACTATAAGTGCGTTCTGTAAATAATTTGATATTTAGCAACAATCGCAGTCAAAATGTAAGAATAATCCCATATCAAAGACTGTCCGTTTAGAATTGTTAAAAATATGTTATAAAACAACCGTAGTTCAAAATGTATTTATTGAGTATTTGTGTGTTTAAATGTATGCCAATTAAAATTTGGATCTTCTACTTCTATTGAAGTGATAATGAAAGCCGATCCTTAGACCTCAATCCTTCGAGCGATGAATTTAGACGACATGAAAGGAAAGCAACATTATTATGGTCGTCGCATTTTCATTTCAGTGTAAAGTATTAAGGAACAATATTTCCATTGTACATACCGTAGTACAATATGTCTTTGTACAAGGGATTTAGGCAGCAGCTGCAGATCAGTGCGAACAATGGGGGACTATAGATTCAGTACTGGAAATTATATAGTTTTGGTGGGCCGGTTATTTTGTAGTTTAAACAATAAGCATTCATTCAGAAGGAGACGTCTTTTATTTTCTCTTATTTTTTCACAACATTTTTCATGTAAACAAATTATGTACAACTAATTTAAAATACACAATAAAATATTTTGAAAAACAATTATATAAAAAGATTAGAAACGCAGCGAAACCGTATTATTCTATTATGTCTTCATATAGCTCACTCATATATTTAATAAAGTAGGTACTAGGTACTTAATATAATTCAAGAAATACAATTGTGCTAATATATTTACGATTTAAGGTATATAGTATAAAGAACTGTGATAATATTTATGTGAACTATTTCTGAATCAGGCATTTTAAGTGTACTAAAACTGCAGATGTGGTAAAATTAAAATTATATTATCATAATATGTATCTTATTTGTTATGAAATAAATTTGTCAAATAATCGTAAAAACTCATGAATTAAAATTTTTTTTTATTACTACGCACAAAGTTACAATTGTGTAAAACTTACAATTGTTACAAGGTACAAGGATTATTTCACATAATAATATTAAATCAAAAATAACATATTCAGACAATTAATCGAAACTGTCCCCAGTTCCCGTTGAAAGCCGAAATTGTTCTATAAGTCAATATAGGTAATAAGTAACTTAGTTGGTGATGAGGGTTATAATGCTTTTTTATGAAATATACAACATAGAAGAATAACTGTTTGAACTATGATCTTATTGAATTTTAAATATAGATGGTTCAAATTTTAAACTGAACTGGACATTAGGTGGTTAGATTGGTTCTAAAATCTGACCACGGAAAAAATTATAGTTTTACTTTTGAAACTTAAATGTGCCGTACGGCTCAAAAATAACAATTTGTATAATTAATTTTAATATGAATTACATTATTATTTAAGATGGACTTTCAGTTTATAAAAAACTTAATGTTCTAGTTCCTTCAAATATTTTATTTATTTTGTTCAGCTTGGTTGGATTTGTTGACATAGCAATTTTTTTTTCTTTGTTGAGTACTTATTTATTTTTATATGTTTGTAGTTATGAACTAGAAGAATATGATTGACGTACAAAATTAAAATATAAAATAAATCTATACCACTGTATATAGAATACAGATACTATAATAATATACTTAAATTCGCATTAAGTAATATAAAAAAAAGTAATTTTAATAACGGGAACAAAGTCCAACAAACTTACATCTTAAATCATAATGGTATACATTATAATTCAATAAGCCAATTTCGTTATCAAAAAAATGGATAGTATAATATAAATAAATCAAAAATAGATTTTGTAACGTTATTTACTTTACGATTACTATTATATTGTATTGATACCGATATGCCAATAGACTTGAATACATTTTGTTATAACTAATCAATAAAACGATTATTATATAAAAACTCGTTTCGCAGGATTATTTATTTTACATTATCTATTGATATGAATATGTGTCAATAGACTTGTGTTATTAATTTATCCATACCTATCACTATGACACTATTCACTGTATTAGAGACACAATTTACATAATTTCTTTAATACGACTCATCCCATTGAAAATATCTGTGAACGTAACTGGATCGATGTAAAACGGGGTTTTGTACAATATCATTTTACTAGCTTCTAGAATATGAAAAATAAGTCTTCAATTCGAAATCCTAGCTCCACCTAAGTAGGCTAAGTAGCCACTTTGGTATTATTTATTGGTTACAATTATATGGTTTTCTTAATACGAGCAAAAATAAATAATTATAAATTTGTTTAAATATTGTAGAATTAAGTGCAAATTATAATTTCTAATAATTATTCTCAAAAAATGCACTTTTCTTTCTTTTTCATTTCACGGATGAATAATATACCTATATTATTTTGAGCTATCTGCTGTTCAAATAATGTAAATATATAATTGTATAATAACACTGTTTACGTAAAAGTTATTTTTTTGCCGTAACATTGCTGTAACACCACAGTCGCCTGCATGACCGTAATACAGTATATTATACCTAGTACCTATACTATACAGATTTTAATATATCTAGGTTTACGAATTCCCGCCCACACTCCTTGACAACTGAAAAACACCAGACTTCCGCTTAATAAAAACATTTACACTCTGTGCCAGCCGCCTCAGTCGTGATAACATTATACATTAAACGAGTAGATGGCTCGACGACCGGCTTACTGTACAGCACATACCGGTTATAGCCAGGGGAATCATCCAGATGGCATTGTACTCAAAGGCGGTCGCCTGGCTTACCACTGCGCACACTCTTGGGTCATAACAATTTAAAAAACGGATCGATGCAGCCGTGCAAAGGGAACAAGGAAATATCCCTTTAATGACGAGACTAGGACGACGTAGGTATAGCCGGTATAGGAGCGCATGTTATACTACGTAGTTCAAAATTACCACATACACTATGGCCGCTACCTACCCCAAGCATTTCCGTTAAAGGCCAGTTGCGTTTCGGTAGCCTGGAACTGGTGGAACGGAGGGGGTGCGCTACGATACCACGGAAGAGCGCAAGCGTGACAAGAAGGAAGGTGACATGTCGCTGAGTCAGCTGAATAGCCCTGACAGGGGTATCACTACTAAATTGTCATTTTTATGAATATAAAATAAATTCAACAATTAAAAAAGCCAACCATTGGTTTATGCCCTATGCCGGCCAACTTAATAATGATATCCAAATTGTCGACCAAAATAAACAGTTTTTATAGTAGTTCATCAAAATCCCCGATTCACCAACGAATTTTTTAGGCTCTATTAAATAGCCTAAAATTTGTATACAAGTTCAAACTGAGCTTTTATTTGTGCAATTTAAAAATAGATAAGCATAATTATTTGTAAATGGTTTTAATTTTAAGTGTATAGAAAAATTCACGTACACTTTTTAAATTATTTTGTAATTAAATTGTATTGTATGTTAAATTGTATAGCTTAGACTTGAAGCCCTTGAGGTTCCTCAAATGTAGCTCTTACTGAAACTTTAAAATCTAAAAAAAATATATATATATACAATTTAATTAACATTGACATTTGAAGTTCAAATTTTGACAGGTAATTTAAACGAAGAATAACGGTTTTAGTTATATTGTTGTAAATCTTGTAAGTTGTAATTTGAAAACATTATTACCCAAAAAATAAATTACCCTAATAACAATACATATATAAATATATATAACAAAATTTAATAAAAATGTAATAGTTTGATTGGCAAGCAGATAGTCTCCATATTCAGAATCGTATTTCGAATGCAATGATTTATCATGAATGAGAACTGTCATTTTTTATCTATGCAAAATATAATTTAGCATCCGAAGCATTTTAATAAAGGGTTGTACTCGATGGGTCAACATGCAATTTTAATACATCGAGCCTTCAAAAAAAGGCTTAAAGGACACAAAGCGGCTATTTAATCACAATATAGAAGGCGGCCGTTGCTTTGGTAAATTGTTTTTACCTGAAGCTCAACTGGTCTAGTTAAATTCTATAGAATTATCAATCCCGCTGTCACCTTGGCAAAAAAAAAGATGCATATTATAAAAAAATTGTTTTTTTGTAAATACGAGAGGATATAGTGATCAATTTTGTAAATGATATTATCTAAGTAAATTAATAGCTCTCAGACAAAATGTTTGTATTGTAGCTGAAGCTATAATTTAGTAAAATAAAACCTATCCGTATGATGCAGATCATCATATCTATTTCATAATATAGAATTATATACATTTTATAAAAGGACATTAAGTTATAAAATATACAATTTTGACGTTCAGTAATCATATTGTTTTTTTTTGTACTGTGAAATGTTAGAGGTAACATAATAATATATATTATAGTATTATAGCCATAAACCTTGTACTACTAAACAAACGATGAGTGCACGGAAAACGTGGAAACAAAGTGTGCTCGTTCCGTACTCGTTGTTTAGATCATGCACTATGTCACTGTGGTTAGAGCTACGGTGTATTATATCCATACTAAAAGCGGTTACATATATCAGAGAGGAGTCTCTTTATTTGGTGCTCGCCCTACATATGCGCTAAGTTACTTATCGCAAGATCATCATCTGGATTATCAGTTAATAATATTATTCCGGAGTCGGCAATAATTGATTATCGATGACCCAAGTGGTAAACATGCGACGACTAACAAGCACACATCAAACACTTGAGGGCTCATTGCTAATATCGGCAACAAAAAATTACTCCGTGGCATTAGTATATAATCTTAGACTCATAATGCATAGTAGTGCGAGATGTAGTAGGGTAAGATATTATATAGATTATTGTATTTTGTCGTGAAGACCGGATACATAACTAGAACATGTTTGAACGTCAATCAAAATAGTGTCGTTGAACACAGTTCTTGTCTAGGAATATCAAATCTATGATTACACCTAATGGCGCCACCGCTTTTAACAGTCCTGGGCGTCAAATATTCTCGGTCTGCCACTGTTTATTACTATGAACAAATTACTAAAAATTAGTTACCTAGTTTAATAAAATAAATTCTGATGAACAAGACAACTATTGAATTCCAATTAACATTAAAACTTCTACTATGAATAACCAGATGATAATATTTGTAATAATCCACTAATAAAAACTATCTACGAACACTGTTATGAGTACCTACCTAAGTGGCTGCATGTTAAAATGTTCCATTCTCTCAAGTTCATCTTGGTCCGTGTTGATCAGGATAATGGACCTTGTGAATCTGAATAACCTCTACCTTTATAAAGCCCATCTTAAAAGCTAGGTTCGTGCACATAAACGCATACCAAAAATGCATACATTGATATGGATTATGGATCATCCTTATCAGTCATCGCATAATAATTGATAACGCACTCTCGAACAGTTTAGAATTCTGGGGAAGACAACACGGCCGCAATGTCGCTGTACTCGTTGATTTTTTTTTCCATGGGTTTTTTCCGATCGACCGCGAACGGACACCAGCGACTTGCTCATTGGGCCGACCGGATCGCTGGGCCGGTCTTCCATCTGTTACGTCAGTCGACATTTCGAAACACTCGCGTCTAGTGTAGTGTTCCTTCTTTTGTGAGAGTTATTTTGCCAACCGATGTTTGAAGTTCTCTTCACCAGTCTTGCGTGAATTTTCCGTTGGTGACATACATTCTGTTTTGAACCTAATCATTTTATTAATTAGTGATGGAGACGGCCAGTGGTTCTGGGACCATGTCACTGAGACAGGTAGACCAGGAAAAATTGTTTATTACCACCTACGAAATTATGACCGATGAAGAATTTACGTAAGCTTTGATATACTTTAGATAAAGTATAACATTAATTATGTAAATGTAATTATTTGTTATCATATAACAGTGAGTTCACTAACAACCGTAAAGCATTCAACCAGAATATTTTGACTGGAAAAGCAACACAAGAGGAATTATTAGTGCAAATAACACTAGAATCGATTATTCTAAATACTTGTGAACAGAAAATTGAAGTAAGCTCGTATGATATAGGCCCACTGTAATAATTATGTACCTAATGTGTGTATATATAGGGACATAGAGTAGGTATCATTATTGTTCACTTATAAATGCTACCCAAAAATGACACCCGGGCAACAGAATACTTACAACGACGTAACAAGTTTTTATTCTACCTTTTAGGCACAGTAGTTAAAATACTTACTGAAACTTTTAAACTTACAAATAGCATGTAACAAAGGTCTCCAAAAGTTAATTTTTATTATTACATTTTTAACAGCTATTGAGTGAATAATGTTGTAAAATTTGTGATACTTGTATTCTGAATTTGTTTATTAATATTTTATACATTTATATAAAGCTTAAACATAATATATTCGTTAATAAATAAATTGAATAAATATTAAAAATGTATAATATGTATAATATTTGAATTCCTGTGTTTATATAGGTGCATAGTATATAGAAGATCCAATTAGAATAACATAATATTTACATTTTTTTTATGTGTAGCGAATAAAGCAGGAATCTTACATTGGGAGTTTTCACTCGGAAATTGAAACTATTTTATCCAATCGGATAAATGATATGTACATTTTACTATTTAAGACTTTCAAATATGATGTGAATTCGGTTTCAAAATATATTCAATTTTGTTTGGAAAATGTAAGTCAAAATAAATTATATATTATAACGCTCATTAATTAATAATTAAACTCATAGTTTATATAATGTACCTATATTTTATTTTCAAATAATTTATTTTAGAATTAATAGTTATTTATAAATTAAGATTTTTTCCTAACTGATTCTTATAGTTTAGGTTTGTGCCCTGTTTGCCGAAAATGATGATTTAATATGGGTGTTGTGCTTCTTGTCATATCTAGGAATACAACTACTCATATACATATATAGTGTTTATATATATTCATATAGTATCGAAATCTTTTAACCTAACTTATCTAGGACTTGAGCATAAGGTATTGCAGAACAATTGTGGTGGTGGTGAAATATTGAACAATTTAAACATAGTTATGTGTTATGTCCAAACCACATAATCAGACATAATATTACATAATATTTATTTTTATTGTATCAGATATTTTTTATGTATATAAATGAATTATGTTATTTATTTTGTTAAAATCAAGTGAATACTAATCGTCAGCGAATTAGGTCTAGGCGAATTGTGTGTTGGTGAACTGCAGAGAAATCACCATAATTTCTTTATTTAAGTAATTTTGTTTTCTTAATTTTATAAACGCAATCGATATTATAGTATATACCTAAATAAATCAAACTTAAAAATTGCCAATTTTGAAAAATAGAATAATTCTAACTTAAATACCAAAAGGTACTCGTGTTTTTCCTATTTTTTTTGATTCTCATGAACATATTTAATAATTACGATAGTGGGATTCATGTATTTATCTTAATTTTATTATTTATCAGTATATAAAACATAAAATATTAGGTGTATTATCATTTAATTATTGCATTATTGTGTGGATTAAATAGTCTTGGGAATAGTTGAGGATTTTTATGCTTATTATTAAGTATTAACTCACTACATCTGAAAAGAAAATCAATAGTTTTTAACTCCTCAAATATTTCACTCTAGTTCTATTTAAGGGGATTGCAAACTATTCGTTTCTAAGGAGTTCAATTTACCTAATATGAAAATTATATACGAACAATCTGATTGTGTGAGTAGTAAATTATCATTAATGTGCTCTGCAAACTCTATTGAAACGAGTTCGCATTCGCAAGTCACCAACGCACGCTATGCGCCACTTATTTTTGCTAAAAATATAATTTATTTTTGACTATTATATAGTTATTATTAGTTCACGTATCGTTAATTGAACTAAGAAGCTCAAATCAAGTTAAATAATTACTTAATAGCTTAGACGATCAAAATTCTTTATGACAAATTCGCCGGATTATATACGTGTACAATATAGATATTCCGTATAGTAGGCTCAATTAGGTTTTAGAAAGATCAATAGATGGCTCAGGTTTTTGTGAACTCTCTCCACACATCAAAATAAATTAACACAATAAATAATTGTGAAATAATTATCGAATTTTTGCAGTATCTAATTAGATATTTATTACATATCTTAAGAGTAATTTAGTCCAGCTTACTTTCCAATTATATTGGATAGGTACTTAATTACGTAGTAGAAAACTAGGAAGTATACCGGTTCAATAAAATAATATTAAAACATAATATTAACTTAACTATCAAATATTCATCATTTCAGCAAAAGTTAACTACTAACTACAAAACTGTATTGGATGGTATAATGGATTCATTTCATAGTGATCCAGACATGTACATAACCGGCGCACATCATGCTTTTAATGATTGTAACGATATAGAATCGGCCAGGCGATATATTTCAATTGGAATAAAATTTCATGAAGATTTCAAAAAATTGTATGTTGAAGAATTTTGGATAGAAGTTAAGAATTTAAACCAAACTGGAGACACATCTCTACAAACAGCTTTAAAAAAATATAACTATATCATTCAGCACTTCAAAGATGACATAAATTTACATTTTGATTTGGTGGACATAGTTTTGGATGAACACATAAAAATGACACAATTACAGTGCACCGTAATAAGGTATAAACAAATTATTAAGTTGAATTTATGAGTGTTCTTATGATCAATTTAATAGGGATATGGTGAATAAATACAGAATAAATGAGCTTATGTGGCAAAAATTAGCAAAAATTCATTTAAATGGTTTTGTTTACAACTACGATACAGAAGTTTTACACAAAATTCAGAACATAAAACAATGTATTTCTATAAGGTTAGAATATTATATATTATTACAATTGTATTATTTGGCACTAAGATATTAAGTTTTTAGGAATTGTTTTAATACCTATGATAAAGCCTTAAAAGAGGGCTTATCTCTTGAAAACCAACGAAATCTTTGGGATTATTTTTTGGACGATATCATAGATATACATAGTTCAATTGATCAGGACGATGAAGTCAATAAAGACTTTATAAATACAATTATTAATCAAACTTTTACTAAGGCATATTCCACTAATATTATGAAACAGCCTAGACATTTTATTTTTTGGGTAAGGCATTAATCTAATTTCTTATTTCTATTCAAATAACATCTGTGTTTATTAATTTAGGCCGTACGTCATGATGACGAAGACGCCCTGGTAGAGGTATTGAGAAAAGGGCTCACAATTTCAAGCGAAAGCTTTGAGCTGTGGAAAAAGTTGTTTGAATTTTATCTAAACCGTGATTTGTTTAAAAATGCAATGGCTGTTTTGTTTGAAGCTGTTGAAACTATTAAAGACAAATCTTTGCCTTTATGGTCAACTATGGAGATATACGTTTTAAGCACCGAAGAGGAAATGGTATGTTTGGTACCTATGTAAATTAAATATATTTATTTGATTATTAACTTAAAGTAAGTACTTGTATACTATAACCAGAAAATAATAATAACATTTCATAATATTTATTCAAGTAAAAGTATTTAAAAATCTTGTGTTTAGGAAATGCTTACAACTCTATGACTCTACTTATGTGATTATTTTATAATAATAAATTCAATCGATTTTGTTGCGCAAAGACTTTCACTAATATGTCTATTTTAATAATTAAGAAAAACATATTTTTATAACTTTTTGGTCAATCATAGGATTCAAAACCAACTCAGCGTCTTCTATATTTCATTCAAAGTCATTGGTTAGTAGTTATAAAAAATAAAACTGTACACTACCAGAATCAAAATTACGGTGGTTTCGAATGGCTAGTAAACGATAAAATTTTGTAAAACATTTAACATTTTTCTTAAAATTAGAGAAATAATTATATATTCCTTCAAATATGATTTTTCCTACTAGAAAAAACACACATCATTGTAAATTTGTAAAATTCATCGATTTATCTAGAATCTAAAATAATAAAATATATTAAAATATTACAGTACTGGTAAAAAATGTATAAGTAAATATAATAACTTTCTTATGAATTAAAATCAATCAAAATTACTTTAATTGATAATTTGTCATATCAGCCCGCCGCCGATGGTGTACGTACCTGGGAATAGCCGTTCTCGACCAAAACCGAACCGGCTATATGACATAAGGGCCAAAGGTACAAAAATGACCCATCATTTGCCCCAAAATTAATATTTTATACAAGCAGTCATTTCAAAAATTGATATATCTTATAAAAATGATATTATATGTATATTATATTATATTGTATTAATATTATTTTATGTAAATAGTTATTTAAAAATTGCTCTTATAAAAATGATATTCTATTATAAAATTATTAAACCATAAATTATGATATGCATGCAAATCAATATAAATTAAATAAACCAGTTGCGGGTCTATAAAAAAATTATTCGTATTTAACCTGAATTATTGTACACTTTCTTTTCGGCCAATTCACTTTTCGATTGAGCCAAAAAGTTTAATACCTACTATGTGTTATAAATTTATAATTATTAAAAATGTATGTTGTATAAAATGTTTATATGGGTAATAGTGTAATATATTAACTAATAATAGTAATAAATACTATTATTTATATTTTTGGGGGACGAGGTGACCGAGTGGTCTGACGCGTCCGCTGCGACGCAGCCGGTCGCGGTTCAATCCTCGGCCACTGGGCGGCATTTTTCTCCGGATAAGTCGCGGTGACCGGAGCACAAGTACCGCCATCCCCCAACCAGGCATGGCAGAAACCTACGGATGCCCAATAGAAACTTTGCCAAAAACAAAAACACTTACGTGTTCCCCCCTCCTACAGTCCCAAACCCTACAGTACCACACAACTTACAGCTAATGGCCTCAGTTGCCGAAGCTTAAATCAAAAAAAAAATAAATATATTTTTTGGTCAATAACTAGTTGATTAATATTTTTTATAGTTACATATATTATAAGCATGCTCACGTTTTGTAGGTATGTTTTTTTTGTAGTGGTCGTAATCTATTCTTAGTGAGTTATAAATGTGTTTTATGAAATGACGAAATTAAATACGTACTAAGTTTGAATTTGCATATCTTTGCATATTTCGTCATATTTTAAGAAAAGCGTATATTTGAGCAATTTCAAACATATTTGGGCATATTTCACATTTTTATATTTTTATAAACGTAAAATTGCCGGGAAAAATCATAATTGGATGGTTCGTAGTCTTTCGTCGTATCTAACACGTACGTCTGTTCACGATGATAGTTTTTCTATCGCTTAATAATTTACCGTTTTATCGACAGTTGTATAATTGTGGTAAAACCTAATGAATCCTAGGTTGATACAGATGGAGATGAGTAACCCGTGTAAAAACTATTTTTATTATATTAAGTACCTACCTAATTTTTAAATTTTTATTTTTATAATTATAATTTATAATATAACTTATGCTTTTTTTAAAAACAAAATAAAAAATTAGCTGCAATTTTAAAGCATATTTTGACGATTTTGACTGCATATTTCGATAATTTTAAGTGCAAGAAGTTCCGAACCCTACTCATAACATATAGTTATCCCACCTAATCGGTCAGACAAAAACTGACTACCAACAGTCATTGGTACATACCCGTCATACCCATACAACGATGAGACAATTAACGGAAAACGTTAATTGTACAATAATTTTCAGTTTTCAACTTCTATACAAATTGTAAATAACAATATTCTGTTGTGTTTCACACATTAATTTTTAATTGAACAACAGAAAATAAGATTTGTATGTTAAGAGTTTTGCATTTTTAGAGTATATTAAAACGACTTACTATTATAATGTATACATAAGCCATTCTCTAGACATAATCTGGTAGAAAGTTAGATTATTTATATTTTAAACTAAATCGTATTTCCAAATAAAACGATTTTTCAACACTAAATTATTAGAATCTTAAAATGTTTCATCCGATATTAGAAAGAATTAATATTGTAAAATTCTTCTAAATGTTTTAAAAAATTTTTTTAGATCGAAGAATTTTACAAACAATGCACAGTAAATGTGATCGAAGAAAAAATTAATTCAAGATTTAGGCCCGAATATTTAGAATGGTGCGTTCTGACTCATGATATAATGAGTGGTCGTAAAGTTTTCAGCACCTTAAAAGGCCTAGAACCAAAATCGCCCTTGTTGTATAAACGAATGTTACGATTTGAAACATTGAGTATAATTTCAAAAGGAAACAGACATATTAAGTATATGAGAAAATTATACAGTGAAGCGTGCAATTTATTTGGACACATGGACGTTGGTAATGCATTTTGGATCTCTATAAATCTGTAACAATTAATAAATAATAATTAATAATAATTTTAAATTAATCTTTATAGAATTATGGTTTGATTGCATACGATTTGAGTATATGTACGGAATCCCATCATTAGTAGATGTGATTTTTGAAGCAGGAGTAAACCTATTAGAAAACCCAAGTTGTAAGGAAAAATTAACAGAGTTGAAATCCGAACTCGACGAACAATTTCGGTTAGTATTATGATATTATTCATATGACATTTTATGTTAATTATACACTTAATTTAACCTTTTCTTTTTAGAGCAAATGAAGTGATAGACATCGAAGATGACGAATGAACTTATATCATCAATCCATCTAACTGTATTTTTTCCATTTCAAGTATAAGACCTCATAGTTTTACAGTATTTAATAACCTAGTGTTCTTTAGTAAAATATTTTTGTCTATACCAAATTGTTGAGCATATTTCTAATTTTTGTAGTAGCTTTAATTGATAACATAAAAACAATTTATCTAAATTCACTTTTTGTGATGGGTGGGTTATGATGTTTTATTATTAATATTAGTTACGTTGATCAACAGACGTTTCAGATACATTTCCCAATACCTTAGTTATTAAAATTTGCTTACTAACTTCTTAGAATTTATTGTAAGATAATTTGTATAACTTAATAATAATACTTTAAAGTACAGGCACTCATTATTTGCTAATTTTTAACACGTCTTATCAATAAAAATTGATTTGAAGCTAGTTGGATAATTGATGATGGAAATGTTTTCAAAAATGTTTGTACAACAGCCCACAACTCAGAATAAAGTATAGGTATCTGATATTGCAGCAAGAACGCTTAATATCCATCCTTTTATTTTGATTCCCCATTCATAGTTACTTCTATCATAATAGATATAGATAAAATAGATCACTCTTAAATATTATTAATATTATTGAGACAACGACCGGATTGATTCGACAGACAATGAATAATTATTCTAAAATTACAAAATACACATGTACAATAATTTGTACATCATAATATGTTGTTGAAAAAAATTGAAACAGTCACCACCCCCTTTTTTAATCCAATGCTTTCCAATTAAGGTTTATCTTCCATTTCTCCTCTGGATACCTCTAGCTTCCCAGAGATTAAGGCGATATCGCCCACTTCAGGAAACACTGATTTAACCAAAAATGAAATATCACATTCTTTTTTATACCTATGTGGCTACGTACCTATTTATATTATAATTAATCGTGTATGTGATACTATGATGAAAATATTTTGATTTCCAATTTTCTTGAATATCATTATTTATTTGGTAGTTTATTTATTAGTTATGTATTCTTAAGTTATTGTAAATATTTCATAGTTTATTATGTTTTTTTTTGTATTATGTAAAACTTAAATTATAGAACTAGATCATTAGCATCATACAGTACATGGCAAAATATGTTTTTGTGGAAGATAACTGTATACAAACTACTAAATTTAATTTCCTCGATGCTCAGGGAATTAATCAATAACACTACTTTTTAGTAAACAAAAAAGTATCTCGTTTCCTTATTGGATTTTTTGTTTGTGAATTATAATTTCAGATAAGATAATGTTTTGATAAAGAGATCCAACATAGGTACTAGTTAAAACTACCGAAAAATATCAACTTCAATTGTTTGTGAGATATTTTACTTGCACACGTCTATACCTTAGTACTTACTAAAATTCATTATACACCCCAACTTAACGGTTGTCGAGATTACAATAGTATATCTGCAATGCAATATGACTAGATGGCATACATCAGGGATTTGGCATAGTGCTTTACATTTTTTTGGTATAATTTTATAGTACATTAATTATATAATTTTTATAATTGTATTTGTTACTGCAGTAAGATGTGCTTGAGAAGAAACATGAGTCTAGTATTATCGTTGCATAATGGCATAACTAATATAACTTAAGACAACGTATTTGTTTATAGACAATTTTTTTTAAATTAAAAACATTTATGTAGTGTGATTTGATATCCATATCAATTTGAACATAATTTAATCTTCAAATAAGAATACGAAATAATATTTTGATTTGTAAGGACGACCTTGATTATTGATTAAATTAAAATATCGCCTTATCCAAAAACAAATGATCGTTAATTAGATACATATTTAAAGATTTTAGTATGGCTATTATTACTTATACTATTATTAAATATCTGTGTACTTAAATTTATAGTTACAAAATATATATGATTTCAGTTTTTCTGTGACATTGATTTTATTTTTGATTTGTACCTATAATTTGTCCAACTATTTAAAAGTTAAGAGTCTACGTGGAAGAGGGTTTCACTTAAATTAAACATAATTTATATCTACCAAATTTAGTTAAAAAAAGATAAAAGATTTTGTTTACATCTTTATAGGGGGCTATAACCGAGTAGGGTCATGAACTTTATATTGCTGTACTTGTTGGATCCAAGATTATATCAGGTCATACACTAGTTGGGTCCCTAATATTGTTTGATGAATACTGAAATATACTAACATTTTAACAGACTGTACCATAATCTATGATCTGTTAAAAAATGGTTAAATATATTTATTTACAGCTAATGTTGTTTTAGTTTTTTTGACGTTAAAAAAACATATTTCCAGAATCTGGGAAATTATGATATAGTACAAATAATAGGTAAAATACCAAGAAAAAATATTAAAAATGTCAAAAATCAAAATATATATAGTAAATACATTTTATAAAATAAAAAAGTAAAATATTGTTTAAAAACAAATTTTTTTATAAATTAATTTTATCGTATTGTGTATATATTTTATATAACATCGTAATTTGTAATATCTAAAGAATTTATATTTTTAATTATAAAGAAACTGTAAAAAACATTTTTAATAACGCCTTTGGTTTAAACGGATTAAAGACAGTCCTAATTCTGGAGTCTGCAAAAATTGGAAGAAAAATATTATTATAGTGTGGTTCTCAAAAAAAAATATAAGAGGCCTAACTTGTGCAATACCTAAGATAATTGGGGATCCAACTTCAGTATAGTACCTAAGATAACCTCAGACCAGTGGATCCATCTCGTAAGATAAATGCGATAAGCCCCTAGTTTTTGGAACCAAAATTGGATGCACCGTAATTAAGAGCTCATTATAGCATAAATAATATTCAATAAATTCTTTTACTAGTGCAAAGTCAAAATTAAATGGTTCAATAAAGTTGAATGGAAACCATTATTGACCACTAAATCAGCTTTAAGGAACCATAAGCTCAATATAGATTCGCTAAATATTAATTGTCTATGGGAACCGACACTTGTTTAGATAAATAATCACGACCACGTCCATAGTGGCATTTCTTATGAGGTGGTTGCAAAAACATTTAAGGGCACCTTAATTTTTGTTATTTAATCCTATAGACCGTAAGTAAAGATTTATTCGATTACAGGTTAAAATGATGGGAATGTGAGTATACCGTTCTGCTGTATATTGGGTGTCGAGGTTGTTGTTACTGAAATGGGAGGTGTCAAATTTGAATTTAATGATAATCATTGTATTAGAAAAACGATTCTGAGCTCAAACGGTTTGCCAGTCAGCCTAGTTAAAATAATAATCAATATTAAGTTTTAAAAGGACAGTATGAGCTTCGTATTAGAAACCTTATTTTAATTTTTCAATCCTTTGCTATAAAAACTGAAAAATTTACTAATTTGTAACTACAAAATAATTTGCGAATTTTGAATTTTAATTATTTATAAAAAATCGTGCCTAAATGTATCAGTAATATTTTTAAAATGCTAAAAAAATTACTAAGGACCTAGTATTCATTTTTCGAACTTTTTGATAAATATCCTATAACATCTATAGACAAAAAAAACCTTTATTTAAAATGTCTATAAGTAGCTCAAGATGAGCCAAAATACTATATGTTTACAAAAAATAAACATTTAAATTTAAAATTTAAAATATTTACAGTTGTTTGTTATTGAGTTAGAACAAAATCATTCGACAGAATTCGTTAATTTACTGCTGAATTCGAAAAAAACCATATCCAATTCAGAAAAATGTAAACTTCAACCTCTCGTAAAAAATTAATTAGGCACAATTATATTGTATATTATACAATATATTACATCCAGTAAATATATTGCGTTTAATTTAGGAAAACTTATGATTCATCTTGTATTCGATTTTCATATCTTAGATAGTTAGATATAAATAGAACATTTTTCATGAATTTCTAACTTAAAATAATTTTCTTATATTCGTAAATTTACTCAAAATTCTAACTTCAGGCACTCGTATAAATGTACTGTGGATTTAAGCTCAATTTTTTTTTATGTTTATTAAGAATAACATATGAAGAGTCTTGTATTCGATTTTCAAGTATTTTGTCGGAGAAAACATAAATAAAAAATCAAAATTTTCTTATAAATATCTCAAACAAAAACAAATTATTTTGAAAATTTAATGGTGTATAGAAAATGGGGAAAACATCATGAGAAAACTTAACAGTTATAAGTTTTTAGTTATTTCAAAAAAAACATAATCAATTTTGTCTAAAACTGGGTTTGAGTAAAAACTCCCCATTTTCCCTTACTTGTTTTTTGTTTTTATCTTACATTATCAATAATATTTACTTATTTTCTACTTTTAACTCTTCATTCTTCAAAAAAAATTTTCATTATTTTGTAGTAGAGTACTACAAGCTTTCTATTTACTTTCGAGTTTTTAATGGACAATTATATAGCCATATAGGTAACCAATATCTACCCAAAAACTCAATAAAGACGTATTTTTCATTGTCACATGGTGCATCTGTCCGTTTGCCCGGTCGAATAATACTGGCTAGTTAACAAATTCAAAAATTGATAAAAATAATTGTATATTTTTCCTATCAATATCTAGCCTACTTGTAGGGACACGCTGTATATATATGAAATTATTTTATAATAAATGGTATTAAATTTAATATCAAATGTTATTGTTATTGATGATCGACGATGTTGGCATTTGGGGGAAAGAATAAACAAAATTAAAAACCACGTATATTCAGAAGAAATATATGTATATAATATATCGTATTATATTACTTGTAACTATTATAACTTATAACTTTGCATTTTTTCTGTGTCGTTTTCTATCCGTGTCGTTTTTTACCATGACATTTTTTACCTGACTTTTTCTGTCATTTTTTTCCATGCCGTTTTTTTATACCGATTATAGAATTAATGAGTCAACAATAAGTCATAATGTACTAAAATATAAAAATTGTTTTGGTTTTGGTTTTTAACCATAAATTTGATTGTACAGTGCCTAACAAACACCTCAAAAAACGGATACTTCCCAATTGTGAATATTTTCCTGCTAACCAACTACGAATTTTCTACTATCTGAAACCTCGAATAACAAACACCTCAGAATAACAGAAAATATTCAGCGACTAAGAGTGTCCAGAATTTAGAGGTTTTACTGTAATATGTTTTTTCATTGCTCTCTAGACTCCGCATATACCAATTAACAATATTACAACATAACATACTTGTATATTATGTGTACAACTATATAACTTGTAACTAATAGTTTTTATAAACTGTAAATAATACTTTAAATTTTTACTTGGTGTGAATTAATAATACTCTTTATGCTGTTATAAATGATTTCGGACGTTTCAGTTAATTATATCTATTTTGAATTTTGAGAGTGAGTTTACAATGAGAGTATAAGACTTAAAATTTGTTATACCCGAGTATTGTACATTTAAAATCAGCGTTTCAGCCTATCACCACGGATAACTTCGATAATATTTTATAGGTGGACCACCTCAATTTTACAATGACTAGTAAAACCTTTTTTTTCTGAATAACAAGAATATGAAAAATTAATCAAAAAATCGCTAGTACCTACTTACTTTTAAAAGTTGATAATACTTATCGATCGTTTGCAGCAACAGGAATAATTATATTATACCGTTCCTCAATAAGTCGTAATTTTTTCAATGTTTAAAAAAAATATATAGTACTAACAATTAATACAATTAATATCTACACGCCGATCAAACACATAATTTATTTTTTTTATTTTACTAATACTTATACTTATATATAATCTATACTTATATGACCTATACAATATTTGGTATAGTTTAATAAATAATAATAATAATAATATTTTATTAATTCTCCAACAAGACATATATACAATCCGGAAAATTAATTAATATACTTTGTTGGATCACCTCT